CATTAATAATTTACTTTGTTGGTTTGAAATGCTATTTCCTGTCATCAGCCAAGATAACTTCTTGAAATTCCATAAACTGTAGGTTTGAAAGGCATTATCCCATTTGTGGTCATAGGCACGTAATTAATAATAATAGTTAAACATCTCTGAACATTTGTATTATTGACCCAGTACATTTAATAATTTGCTTGTAAGTTTGAAATGCTATTTACTACCATCCTCCCCGATAACTTCTTGAAATTCCATAAACTATAGGTTTTAAAGGCATTATCCCACTTCTGGTCAAATGCACGTGATTAATAATAATAGTTAAAAATCTCTGTAAAATAGAATTATTGACCCAGTACATTAATAATTTACTTGTAAGTTTGAAATGGTAATTGCTATCATCAGCCAAGACAGCTTCTTGAAATTCCATAAACTGTAGGTTTGAAAGGCATTATCCCACTTCTGGTCAAAGGCATGTGATTAATAATAATAGTTAAAATCTCTGTAAAATAGAATTATTGACCCAGTACATTCATAATTTACTTGTAAGTTTGAAATGCTATTTCCTATCATCAGCCAAGATAACTTCTTGAAATTCCATAAACTGTAGGTTTTAAAGGCATTATCCACTTCTGGTCAAATGCACGTGATTAATAATAATAGTTAAAATCTCTGTAAAATAGAATTATAGACCCAGTACATTAATAATTTACTTTGTAATTTGAAATGCTAATTCCTATCATCAGCCCTAACAGCTTCTTGAAATTCCATAAACTGTAGGTTTTAAAGGCATTATCCCACTTCTGGTCAAATGCACACGATTCATAATAATAGTTAAAAATCTCTGTAAAATTTGAATTATAGACCCAGTACATTAATAATTTACTTGTAGGTTTGAAATGCTATTTCCTATCATCAGCCAAGATAACTTCTTGAAATTCCATAAACTGTAGGTTTAAAGGCATTATCCCACTTCTGGTCAAAGGCACGTGATTAATAATAATAGTTAAAAATCTCTGTAAAATAGAATTATAAACCCAGTACATTCATAATTTACTCACAGATTTGAAATGCTAATCTATATCATTAGCCCAGACAGCTTCTTGAAATTCCATAAACTGTAGGTTTTAAAGGCATTATCCCACTTCTGGTCAAATGCACGTGATTAATAATAATAGTTAAAAATCTCTGTAAAATAGAATTATTGACCCAGTACATTTATAATTTACTTGTAGGTTTGAAATGCTATTTCCTATCATCAGCCAAGATAACTTCTTGAAATTTCATAAACTGTAGGTTTTAAAGGCATTATCCGAACTTCTGGTCAAATGCACGTGATTAATAATAATAGTTAAAAATCTCTGTAAAATAAAACTATTGACCCAGTACATTAATAATTTACTTGTAAGTTTGAAATGCTAATTCCTATCATCAGCCAAGATAACTTCTTGAAATTCCATAAACTGTAGGTTTTAAAGGCATTATCCCACTTCTGGTCAAATGCACGTGATTAATAATAATAGTTAAAAATCTCTGTAAAATAGAATTATAAACCCAGTACATTCATAATTTACTTGTAGGTTTGAAATGCTATTCTATATCATCAGCCAAGACACCTTCTTTAAATTCCATAAACTGTAGGTTTTAAAGGCATTATCCCACTTCTGGTCAAATGCACGTGATTCATAATAATAGTTAAAAATCTCTGAAAATTTGAATTATTGACCCAGTACATTAATAATTTACTTGTAAGTTTGAAATGCTATTTCCTATCATCAGCCAAGATAACTTCTTGAAATTCCATAAACTGTAGGTTTTAAAGGCATTTTCTCACTTCTGGTCAAATGCACGTGATTAATAATAATAGTTAAAAATCTCTGTAAAATAGAACTATTGGCCCAGTACATTAATAATTTACTTGTAGGTTTGAAATGCTATTTCCTATCATCAGCCAAGATAACTTCTTGAAATTCCATAAACTGTAGGTTTTAAAGGCATTATCCCACTTCTGGTCAAAGGCACGTGATTAATAAAAATAGTTAAAAATCTCTGTAAAATAGAATTATAGACCCAGTACATTCATAATTTACTCACAGATTTGAAATGCTAATCTATATCATCAGCCTAGACAGCTTCTTGAAATTCCATAAACTGTAGGTTTTAAAGGCATTATCCCACTTCTGGTCAAATGCACACGATTAATAATAATAGTTAAAAATCTCTGAAAATTTGAATTATAGACCCAGTACATTAATAATTTGCTTGTAAGTTTGAAATGCTATTTCCTATCATCAGCCAAGATAACTTCTTGAAATTCCATAAACTATAGGTTTTAAAGGCATTATCCCACTTCTGGTCAAATGCACGTGATTAATAATAATAGTTAAAATCTCTGAAAATTTGAATTATTGACCCAGTACATTCATAATTTGCTTTGTAAGTTTGAAATGCTATTTCCTATCATCAGCCAAGATAACTTCTTGAAATTCCATAAACTGTAGGTTTTAAAGGCATTATCCCACTTCTGGTCAAATGCACGTGATTAATAATAATAGTTAAAAATCTCTGTAAAATAGAATTATTGACCCAGTACATTAATAATTTACTTGTAAGTTTGAAATGCTATTTCCTATCATCAGCCAAGATAACTTCTTGAAATTCCATAAACTGTAGGTTTTAAAGGCATTATCCCACTTCTGGTCAAATGCACGTGATTAATAATAATAGTTAAAAATCTCTGTAAAATAGAATTATAAACCCAGTACATTCATAATTTACTTGTAAGTTTGAAATGCTATTTCCTATCATCAGCCAAGATAACTTCTTGAAATTCCATAAACTGTAGGTTTTAAAGGCATTATCCCATTTCTGGTCAAATGCACGTGATTAATAATAATAGTTAAAAATCTCTGTAAAATAAAACTATTGACCCAGTACATTAATAATTTACTTGTAAGTTTGAAATGCTAATTACTATCATCAGCCAAGACAGCTTCTTGAAATTCCATAAACTGTAGGTTTTAAAGGCATTATCCCACTTCTGGTCAAAGGCACGTGATTAATAATAATAGTTAAAAATCTCTGAAAATTTGAATTATTGACCCAGTACATTCATAATTTGCTTGTAAGTTTGAAATGCTATTTACTATCATCAGCCAAGATAACTTCTTGAAATTCCATAAACTATAGGTTTTAAAGGCATTATCCCACTTCTGGTCAAATGCACGTGATTAATAATAATAGTTAAAAATCTCTGTAAAATAGAACCATTGACCCAGTACATTAATAATTTACTTGTAAGTTTGAAATGCTATTTCCTATCATCAGCCAAGATAACTTCTTGAAATTCCATAAACTGTAGGTTTTAAAGGCATTATCCCACTTCTGGTCAAATGCACGTGATTAATAATAATAGTTAAAAATCTCTGTAAAATAGAACTATTGACCCAGTACATTAATAATTTACTTGTAAGTTTGAAATGCTAATTACTATCATCAGCCAAGATAACTTCTTGAAATTCCATAAACTGTAGGTTTTAAAGGCATTATCCCACTTCTGGTCAAAGGCACGTGATTAATAATAATAGTTAAAAATCTCTGAACATTTGAATTATTGACCCAGTACATTCATAATTTGCTTGTAAGTTTGAAATGCTATTTACTATCATCAGCTCCCAGATAACTTCTTGAAATTCCATAAACTGTAGGTTTTAAAGGCATTATCCCACTTCTGGTCAAATGCACGTGATTAATAATAATAGTTAAAAATCTCTGTAAAATAGAAATATAGACCCAGTACATTAATAATTTACTTGTAGGTTTGAAATGCTATTTCCTATCATCAGCCAAGATAACTTCTTGAAATTTCATAAACTGTAGGTTTTAAAGGCATTATCCCACTTCTGGTCAAAGGCACGTGATTAATAATAATAGTTAAAAATCTCTGTAAAATAGAATTATAGACCCAGTACATTAATAATTTACTCACAGATTTGAAATGCTAATCTATATCATCAGCCCTAACAGCTTCTTGAAATTTCATAAACTGTAGGTTTTAAAGCCATTATCCTATTTGTGGTCAAATGCACGTGATTAATAATAATAGTTAAAAATCTCTGTAAAATAAAACTATTGACCCAGTACATTAATAATTTACTTGTAAGTTTGAAATGGTAATTACTATCATCAGGTTAGACAGCTTCTTGAAATTCCATAAACTGTAGGTTTTAAAGGCATTATCCCACTTCTGGTCAAAGGCACGTGATTAATAATAATAGTTAAAAATCTCTGAACATTTGTATTATTGACCCAGTACATTCATAATTTGCTTGTAAGTTTGAAATGCTATTTACTACCATCCTCCCAGATAACTTCTTGTAATTCCATAAACTATAGGTTTTAAAGGCATTATCCCACTTCTGGTCAAATGCACGTGATTAATAATAATAGTTAAAAATCTCTGTAAAATAAAACCATTGACCCAGTACATTAATAATTTACTTGTAAGTTTGAAATGGTAATTGCTATCATCAGCCTAGACAGCTTCTTGAAATTCCATAAACTGTAGGTTTGAAAGGCATTATCCCACTTCTGGTCAAAGGCACGTGATTAATAATAATAGTTAAAAATCTCTGTAAAATAGAATTATAGA